CAAATTCATGGACTATTTTTATTAATTATTGTTAAATGCATATACGCTCATATACATTCCTCCCTACAACCTGTTCAGCCTGTATAATGTTGTATGTATGTTTCTGTGGCTGACCATATTGCATTGGGAAACAACTTGGGTAGCACCATTCTTTAATCCAGACCCCCTGAGACCTGTTATCATGGTACCTTTTCACCTGAGAAATGTTTATCTGAGCCCAGGAATTTAGATAAATGCATAAATCAAGCAGTTGCTGATAGCTAATCCCAGACTTTAAATAATTTTGACATATGTGTTATTATTTAATGCCATTATTTATCAAAACTAATAACAAATATAACTTATTAGAGACAAGAGCAAATTTACACAGTAATAAGATGCTTATTTACTTTTACATAAAGAAATAAATCTTGGCTAATATATGACATTGCACATAGTGCATCTACAACATTTTTCAGAGCGGGTCAGTATTTTTATTGTATAATGATCAGTGCTGAGAACTCGGTTTCATATAGATACATAGTACAAGATGACTGGGTATGTTGAGGGCCACTTCAGAAGTTGTTGGAAATTCTGCCCTAATCCCAAACCATAATTATTTTAAATGAAACTCACATAAATAATTCAAATACCAACTTTCAAAATTAAGCATCTTCACACAATACAATCAAAAGACAAATTATATTGACAGTTTTTCTTTTCTACAATTAAACCACTGAGTTTCTACAAGAGTAGAGAACTTGGCAGGTGCTGCAAAAACACTAAGTTTTGTAACACATAATTGTCCTACATTTGAGCCAAGGGTTTCCAACAGTATGTGCCATGAGCTTTGATGCAAATTGTTTGTGGGGGTGCTATATTAGGAACTGAAACAGGTAACTTGGAAAAGTTTTACAAGTGTTAATAACAATATACATTGAATTTTTAAAACTTTTGAGTCAACCCTGGCTGGCTTGACTGTGGCTGTGTAGACTAGGCTGGTCTTGAACTTGTAGCAGCTCTTCTTGCTTCTGTCTCCATAGAATTGGGATTATAGATGTGACCCACCATGCCTGGCTTAGATTAAAGTTTAATTAAAGAATAAATACAAATTATTCTTCCAAGTAAAGCCAACTAGTGAGGAATCAGTCACTGGTTTACTTTTGTACAAGTCTCTCCACACCTGGCTTTACAGAGACAGTGGATTCTTGTGCTCACTTGCGTGTGTCATCTGTCTGACAATGTAGTTTGGGGAAGTACGGTAAGAAATCTAGCCTCATATGTGGATACTGTTGAGAAGGGAGTTATCCTCTGACCCACACTGAACAATAGTGTTTTAAACTTACCTGAAATGCATGAAATTTTCAGGTCTGGGCACTTTAAGATCATTTTTTCATTTCTCATTTTGACTCCTCTTTCTCGAAAGCAAGGCTTCAGCGCCTGGTTTACTGAGTGCTAGAACTCTCCTGAGCACTGCGACATTTGTTTTACAATATCAGAACACCATATTCATTAAACATTGCCATTAATCACATCAAGAAAGCATTTAATATTGAGAGTACTGTCAAACTCATGGAGGGCAGACAAATTATAATTTTCAACATTATTATTTTTGCTTGAAAGCTCAAATATTATTAATGGGAACAATACTGCCATGTTTTCTTGGAGTGAAAGGCTCGTTTTGTTTATTTCCAAGAATTTTTTTCAAACATTGAATTTGAATAATCATGGTCTGCCAGCTGTTCTTTAAAGTCAAAATGTTATTTCTTGAGAAAGGGGTTTGGCTCACATGTGGCGTGAACAAAACCACTGACTGGGTCTGAAGCCCAAATGTTTCTTGCATGCGTTCTACTTTATTTACCACATGGGATATTAAAATGGCGTGTTCTCATGGGTTAGGAAGAACGAAATTCACACTTTCTGTCCCCCACTAGGGGCGTTATAAGGAGCTGGCATTGATTTTGTGTGTATAGTGGTGAAGGAGATGGTTTGATGGCTCTGTTTAATGCGTGCCAAGGTGCCGGCAATTTGGCCAACCATTATGTTTGTGCAGGTGTAGCAGAAGTAATGGACAGCAAGGGAAATCATGTATTACTGTGGTCTTTAAAAGAGTCTTCATTTGCTAGACTTCCACAGAAGAGGTCTTAAGGACGCAGAGGGGTGTGCAGACCATACCATAAGATGTACTGATTTAAACAATTAATCCCTGTCTTAATAATTTTTCACTTAATCCTTTCTGCTAGCTTTTAAGTATTTTCAAATATCACTCATCTTGGACGAATATCCAATTTTATGTTTAACTCCGTGTCATCTACCAGATATCACTGAATTTACTACTTCCCTGTTAGGACCATCTGCTCTTGGATAATTGTCTCTTGTTTCTGTACACACATTGGTCTTTGTAGTCCATTGAGATCTAGTTTCTATTCCCTTCTCTTCCCGTGAATTACTCTCTTCAGGGTCCAGAAATTTCTGTTTTTGTGACTCCAGGTGACAAGCTCTCTTCTGATTTTTTTGGACTCTTCTGCAGTTCTTTGCTGTAGTGAGCTCTTGGTTCATCATGGTTAGTGACAAGCACAGATGTTGAAAGCCTTTCACGAGAATGCTCTTTTAATCTGGGGCAATGCAGTGATATTCCAAGTCCTTTCTTGGGAACCTAGGAAAGCTGTCTACAGTCATGCATCTCTCACCTGAAGTGCAGAGTCTCAAATCTGTCACCCTAGTCCCAGAGATCTTACCCATAATGTGATGCATTCTAGGAACACTTGTTTCTCTTCCCTTCAACTTCACTCTCTGTGTTTTTTTCTCTACCTATTTGGCTGCTGCCTCTTAGTCTTCTTTGGTCCTATAAAACAGTATTTATCCAGGACCAGAAAGATGCTCTTGTTAAGAGCACTTGTATTTTCAGAGGACCCAGGGTTGGTTCCCACTAGCGACATGGTTGCTCACAACCACCCATAACTCATTTTGGGGAACCCACTCCTCTTTCTTCTGCAGGGACACATGTCGTACATATGCATACATGCAGGCAAAATGCTCAGACACATAAAGTGAAATTTAAAAAACCTAAAAAAAAAGTGATGATTTCATTACTCAAAATTCAGTGTTTAAGAAGATCATTCGGCTGGCCATGACCAAGGCATGCGTATCCCCACACCCTGAGTTTGCCTTGCTGGTGAATGGGAGACTTGTACCTTTTGAGTTCTGAGAAATGTCCCAAAGCGTGTATCTATGGGGCCTTATGAAGGCAGGCTGCACTGATGACAGAAAGGAATTAATAAATGACCATTACTACTTAGTCTCCCCTCCCCCCACTGCCTCTTACTTACATTTTTGGTACTGAATTTGTGCCTTCCTGGAGGCTTTGCCTGACTTTCCTAGTTGGCTTTACACCCTAAGTACCCAGGGCTTCCCACTCACCTCACGGAATCTTAAAGTCATGCCCTGTGGTTACCTCCTTGCATTTCTTCATTAAACTATGCATGTTGAAAATCATAGATAATCCTACTTTTGCTTCATACCCCCACTCTAGCATAGGGCCTGGCACATTGTTGCTCTTTAATGTTTGATGAATAAATAAATAATGTGAATTTATACGTGAGTAGAACACTCCTGAGAAATATATTTGGAAGAGGCTATTGGGGAGTATGCTCAAGAACTCTGAAGATTTTAGGGCTATTTTTCTAGAAATAATGGTTGAAAGTGTTGGACTGATTTCGTGGATACTCTGGAAAAGAAGACTAGTGAGGGCTGAGACAGTTCCTCAGAGAATAGCATCCAGTGAAGAACACTACATCATATCAGTGAAAGATGTTATGTATGTGCGTAACATGGTATGGAAAACAAAAAGAGCTTTTGGATCCCTAGACGACAGCTGGTGTAGATATAGAAAAGGACATAAAGAATGAAGAAGTGGCATGTGATTTTGTAATCATGAAGCCTTTCAGTGGTATTTGATCTGCTACCATTGACTGCGAAGGAAAACCGTCAGACCGTGAGGAACAGGTAGGGAGGGCAAAAGTGGGGCTGACGATAGAGGCGGGTCATGTAGGTCAGAGTTCCTCAGTGAGCTGTGTGCACGGCATGCCCCAGCACAGCAGCAGCAGCCAGGGCTTTCTGGGTACCTTCTTCTCCAAGGCTTCTGCTTCCAGAGGGTCTGGGGGTGTGTGCTTTTTAAACCACATAGTCCTTAAACAGGATTCTGGAATTTTCTGCTTTCAGGTCCTGGGCCAACCACTTCTGCATGCCTCTTGCCACCCAAACGACATTGTCACTGTCTTTAACCTTATGCCCCAATAATGTATTGTGACAAGCAGTTCAGGGTATGTATGGACCTTGGACTGGCATGTTCCACATACATATGTGACCTCATTATGGTACACAGTAGCATCATGAGTGGAAGGAAAAGGAGGCAATCCGTCATGTGTGTCTTAGCAATAAGCGTGATTTCCAAAGAGTGACAGAATAGAGCACATGTGAAGCAATTCCATGGAACATACCATCCACAGTGGGCTGGTCTTATCACTTCAGTTGCTGTAATGGTAACAGGCTTCTCCCAGGTACGGGCACAGACCAACCTGATATATATGATCCTCCACCGTGACTTTTGCCAGGTGGTAATTAACACTGACCATCAGAAGGTGGAAGTCAGGTTCCTGAGGGGAGCAAACCCAAAGAAATGAGTAAAGAAAACAGGATACATGTACAGGAAAAGGATATATTAGATCGCCTTATCCTACGGCAAATTGGGTAGTCCATGTGTGGCCACCAGCATGCCTGAGAGGCAGAGGCATGGTAGCTATTAGTCTAAGAGTCAGGAGGTCTCAGCAGTTCCAGCTGAAAACTGAAGACTGGGAGTTCTTGAGAGTTCCAACTTTTTCCTATTTGGGCCCTGAGCCCATTGTATGGTGAAGTTTATATGAAAGGAAACACACTGTCCCCTACCCCAGTCCCCTCTGGAAATTCCCCCACAGAAACACCCACGGGTGCACTTTGTCAATGTCAAGCATCTCTTACTCCAGTCAATTTGACAACTGAGACCAACCTTTATGACCATAACCAATAATCAATCATATCAAACATAATTGACATAACTGTGCTTGGCCTGGCAGGAATGAAGGTATTCTAATAAGACAACCTACCCTTTGACTATCAGGCTATTAAAACACTGGACCCCAAGGAACTGGAATTTCTCCAGGAGAAGACTCACACACAGTAGGGCAGACTGTCTCCTCACACACAGTAGACAGGTCAGTCTCCTCACACACAGTAAGGCAGGCTAGCCTCCTGACATACAGCAGGGCAGGCCAGTATCCTCAAATGAGTCAGGAAAACAGAGTCTTCACAAGCAGAACACTGAGAGTCCCTTCCCTCTTATCAACTTAACACACAAATAAACCCCCAGATGGATTACAGACTCATATGTGAGACACGGAAGTTCAGAAGACAGCATGGAGGAATCTCCATGACATTGGTCTGGGAAGCCATTTTTAAAAATAAAACTCCAACACAAGGCAATAAAAACAAAAAAAGACAAAAGCAAAAACTAAATAAAACAAAAAGGGCTAAAAATCTTTTATACAATTAAAATCATAGAGTGAAGAATCCATCTACAGAATGGGAGAAGTATTTTTAACCTGATATATCTGATTAATATCCTAAATGCATAAGAAGTGAGCAATTTACATAACTCAGCCATGAGAAAATAACTCAGTCAGAGAATGGACAAAGGATCTGAATACAGACATTCTTCAAATACTCGAATAAATGATCATATTGCTACTAATCAGGGAGGTACAAATTAAAACCACAGTGACAAACCACTTCTCACTGACAGCAATGGCCACTGTGAAAAAGAAAATAAAGGTGTGAATGTCTGGTGATCAGATGACAACTTTTTCCTGTTCTTTTTTTCCATCATGAGGGTTCTGGAGATCAAACTCTGGCCATTGGGCTTGGTGGCCAGCTGGAGGAAATACCTCAGCAGGGCTGGGTTTTGAGAGTTTGCTGCCCTGTCCCATGGCCTGCCACTTCATTCTCAGCTTCCTGGGTGTGGATGAAGTTGTGTCTCTCAGCCTCCTGGTCTTCTGCCTCCCTTGCCATCATGGACTTTGCGGAGATCCAAGCCATAGTAAATGCTTTCAAAGGCTGGTTTTGGTGTCTTGATCACAGCAACAGGAAAGTGGTCAACACAACACACAAGCAGAAAATGAGAACGGGTAAGCCTTAAGAACGAGAGAGAAGTCTGTCATTTGGGGATACCATGGCACAGAGAGACAGACAGCCTATGATCTCAACTAACTCCGTGTGAAGTCTAATAGGCGGTTCGTGGAAGTTGAGATGTCTCAGCAGGTGAAGGTGCTTGCTGTCTAACCTGATGACCGGAGTTCAGTCCCCAGAATCCACATGGTTAGAGAAGAGAACAAACTCTTGAAAGTTGTCTACTCACTCCCCTACGTACACCCATCACCCTGCATGTGCATGTGTGTGCTCACAAGTGCAAACACACACACATACACACACACACACACACACACACACACACACACAAAATATAACCAACCAGAAGGCTTGATTTATGGAAATACAAAGTGAATGGTGATTAGAGGCTGAATTGGGAAGAAGCAAGGAAAAGCCACAATATTCTATTGTTGTACATCATGGTGATGACAACAAAAATACATTAATATAATGTATGTTAGAATATTACCAAGAGTAGATATTTAAGTATTAAGGTAAATGGATGAGATAAATGTGTTGCCATTCTACGATGGGTATACATTTCCAAATATCATGTAAACATGTTTGTGTGTGTGTGTGTGTGTGTGTGTGTGTGTGTGTGTGTGTGTATACTTTATTTTTTGGTCAGTTAAACTCAATAAAATAAGGTGCCAAATACAGACATGCCTATAAAGCATAACACTTATGAAGAGGACAAGTTCAAGGCCAGCCAGGGACACAAAGTAGGCTTAAGGCAAGACTGGGATGCACAGTGAGTTTAAGGCAGCTTGGCCTCCACAGTGAATCTGAGTTCAGCCCTGCTACACAGAAAGACCCTGTCTCAAAATACCAAAAACAAATAAAATAAACAAACTTAAAGCATAGATTGAAATAAGACAAATAAAACATCTACAATTCCAGGCTGAGGGAGATCCATGCGGTAGCTTGAATCATGAATATATTGAAAATGTGATCCTTAGTCCTGGCTATGGTAGGAAGCAGGTCCTAATGGGAGGAGAGGGATCATCCGTGCGTGCCTCTGAGGAGGATTTTGAGACTGCTGCTTCATCCCTGCTTTTATTCCCAGCTGCTGAGGGGGGAGCAGTTTTCTCCACCACTTGCTCCTCTGTGGCTTACCTTGCCACAGGTCCAAGGCAATGGGCCAGATGATCATGGATTGAAGCCTCCAAGACTGTGTGATGGGGGATGCCTTCTGTATATATGTTTCTCTTATTGTTTGATGAATGAAACACTGTTTGGCCAAAAGCCATGCAAGAAGCATAGGCGGGGCTACCAAACCAAGGAGAATGATGGGAAAAGGAAAGTAGGCAGAAAGAGGTCACCAGAGAGACATGCCATGTAGTGACCAAGAAGATAGGATGCTTCAGGCATTCTCTGGTAAGATAAGGCCATGTAGAAATACATAGATTAGTAGTTATGGGTTACTAATTAAGAGAAAGCTAGTCAATAAGAAGCCCTAACTATCAGCCAACAGTTTATAAATTAATATAAGTCTTTGTATGTTTATTTGGGGTTAATTGGCTGTACGACCAGGTTGGGAAGAAACTCCAAGTACAACCACGAGCTGCAATAAACCGTTCTTTTTGATTTGCTATCTCCTTCTACTACCACAGTGACAAAAGCTGCCTGTCAAAGTTGTCCACAGCAATCCTCTCTCAAGATCATTAGGAAATGCTTTTAATTAATTTGAAATATATTACAGGTGACCTTGTTTGGACATAAGGTTATCATATAATCAGTGCACTACATCTTTCCTGTGAAATTACCTTTAACAGGACAGAGAGAGGGAAGGAGATGGGGAGAGAGAGACACACACACACACACACAGAGACACACACACACAGATAGTTTCTGGTCTCCTCCTTATTTAAAATTGAAAAATAGAGTTTTTGAGCAAAAGAATTTGTCTGTTTGGGTTGTAGTTGGCTGCTATGGATACCTGTGAACTTGCTTCCATTATCAGCAGAGAAAACTGAGTAGGAAGAGGATGAGGAGGTAGAAGAGGAAAGAGAGAAGGAAAACAGGAGAAGCAAGAGAACAAAGAAGAAAAGGAAGGACGAGGAGGAGGGAGAGGGGGAACAGGAGATGACTCAGTCCAGAACGAGCCAATCTTTCCTTTGGTTAGGAGACAGTGACATGGCCACACCAGAGCAACAATCTTCTGCAGTTTCCAGACCTTAACATGGAGATGTTTGAAGCACCTGTGAAAGACACTGGAGTCTTAGCCCACCTGGCGTGTTTGTGCATGGAACACTTCCTCATTCCGATATTCTGAAAGTTGGTTGCCATGCAGGTGGGGATTCCCATGGAGCTGATTGTTCATGCACTGTAAAACTCTCTTTCAATTACTGAAATCAATTTCTCCCTAGGCCTCAAAGCAGAGACCACTCTGGAGCCTTTGAAAGCAATTTCTCCTTTGATTTCTTTAAAAACTGACACATCCATGTTTACTCTCTGACAGAAAATCTGCTTTTATAGTGTGTTACCAAGGGTTCCTGTCTTTGGCTCTCACCCTCTGCCTCCTGTGAGGTGGATTCTGTGACCCTCTACGTGTTCCTGGGCCCTGTGCGAGAACCCCCACGTCACTTCTTAAATATGAAGTGTGTGACAGAGTGAAGATGATGGCATACATTCATCATCATCATCATCACCATCTTTTTGACAAAATCTTATTCTTTAGCTCATGCTGGCTTAGAAATTACTATGTTGTAGTCTAGACTAGGCTTAAGCTGATAGTAATCCTCCTGTCTCAGACTCTGAGTTCTAGGATTACAAGTACAGGATTAAGTTCATCCCCCGCCCCCAGCTTGTGGTGGTGGTGAGCAAACCCAGAGCTTTATGAATGCCAGCCAAGCACCCTACTTTGGGCCCTGTCCCCAGCCATGCATTCATGCTTTGACTGGGAGATAACTTCCCACCCTCTCCAATATTCACCTTGAACTGGTTGTGCTAATTGCTTTGTCAGTCTGCTTGTTTGGAAGCTTCTAAGAACTAGGTACATTGTTTTGAAAAGCTTTCATTTTCTAAAACATATATAGGCCACTCACTCAATGTTTTATTTCCCAACTTAATTTTTTCAAACGAATGCTATTCTTTGTCTAATATCTCATATGTAAGAAAAAGTAGTCTTTTCTTCTAGTGATGAACACTATATTCTCTGCATTTATCATAAGACATTAAATATTGGTAACTAAGCACACTCCACACATTCTTCATTGCCATATTCTTGTAATTATCATCTTATTGTGAGGTGTGTGTATATGGGGGGAAGATCTTCAATGAAAGGGAGAGCTGGTTTGTTCTATAGTGGGTTTCCAAACTAGGGTTGCAATACAAATGACAATTTTATAACTTTTTGGATATTTTAATTTATTATCATTTATAATCTGTGTTTGGGAACCTTTAACTGCTGTCTCACATCAACACTGAGACAACCCTATTTACTAGAACCTCAAGAACCATGTAACAGGGCAAGGGCATGGCTCAGTGGACAACTGTATGCACAGCACTCTAGATCAGTCTCCAGGTCTTCCAAATAGACACATAGACAAACAAAAATATATGGCAGATGCTTAGAGGCATGCCTTTTGTCCAGCCATTGAGAGAAGTGGAGAGTTGATGGGAATGAATGGCTCTGGGAGCCAGTCTTGGGGATGCCTTTCCTGGCCACAAGAGTGAGGTCAGAATGCCTGGTGTAGCTCTTTGATCGTGTGCTAGAAGATACGCTGACAGACAAGCAGCTCCCAAAGCTGGTGCCCTGGCTCTCTGGGCATTTGTATAGTCATTCAGAAAGTTTGCTTCAGGCACAAAATGTGTGACCAGCATTGTGCTTGCATCTCCATCGTGTCTAGGTGTGAACTGTAGGTATTCCTTCGATAATAGCCAGGAGTTTTTGTTTTTGTTTTTGTTTTTTTTCCTATTTTGATCTGCACTTCCATCTGGGTTTAAAAATGCTAAACTTTTCAAGAAAGCCTCTACGGCCTGTTTGTGTAAGAATTTAGGGTCGAGGACTCTCAGAGCCTTAAGACTGCACAACCATGGCTCAGAGTTATTGTCAGTGGGATCTGAGCACCGTCTGGCTGGTTGCCTTACTTTTCAGAAGATAAAACAGCATCCCAGAAGTTTCTCGTTGAGAGTGGGGAAATGGCTCAGCCAGTGAGGTGCTCGTCCTGAATGTTGGGAATCTGAGTTGGAATACCCAGCGCACACATAAAAACTAAGTGCAGTGTTCTGTAACCCAGGAATTGGGGGTTTTGAGTGGATGGGATAGGAGAATCCTTGGGACTTGCTGCCCAGTCACTCTAGATGATTCAGCAAGCACCAGGTTCAAATGAAGATGTTGTTTCATAAGACAGAGAGCCATGTAAGAAGATAACACTATGTGGACCGCTTGCCTTTACATACATCTGCATACACACAGAGGAACACACACATACACACACAGAAGTTTATTGTTCAATATAGGATCGTGCTTTTAACTTGGTTTCATTATGATGTTTAAGTTGTCCCGATTTTGTGATTTGGGAGGGTGCACATGGTTTCCTACATCAAAGTACTGTAGAGCATTTGACAAAGGACAACTTATTCCTTCTTAGATTTCACTTGCTCTTCTCCCGAAGGCTTTAGACCCTTTCAGCCTTACTTCTGGTGAGATCTTATCTACTGCTGTGGCATGATTTTCCCTGTTGTTCCTTCAACATGCCTTCCTGAAGCCATCATTGTTACATAAATGTCCACTGAGCTTAACCTATGGAAAATAAAAAGCAAGCCAGACATGATTCTATCCCTGGAGGTGAGTGTGTGTGAGACAATAGGGAGATACCATCTTTTACAACATTATATGATGACATCATGGGAGCAAAACCACCCATTAAAACCATATATAAGGAAAACATAATGGAGTTGATTCTAGATAAGATTAGAATGTAGTGATGGAGTAATTGAGCTCTTGGCATTTGCTTTCTGACCTACCCTATTGAGGAAATGAAGATGGAAAAGACAGTGGCTTCATTTTACACTGAGAATTAGAGCAGGGACTGTGTATCCTCTAGGACACAAGTGGAACTGGTGGGTGATCAACTTTTAGTGCAGTCAGGATGTCACATTAGAGAGACCAGAACAGTCCCCACATCATCCTCACCACATCCATGTCGCCATCCTGCATGAGCCTGGTTGCTGCAAGCTTCTTTCAGGCCTGTGCTGGCCCATCCACAGGGTTAAGAAGGGTGCAGGTCAGGAAGCTAAAGTACATTTGGAGAGACGATGTAACAAAGGAAGGCTTTTGAGGTTTACTGGTCACCATTCCAAATTTAAAAAGAAAAAGTTACTCTTTTGTTTAGTGTTCAAGTTGGGATTTTGGCCTCAGGAGACAGTCAGAGGCTGACTGGACTTGAATGTCATTGGGAAAGGGAGAGCACAAACCAGCCACCAACAGGACCAGAGTGCCAGGTTTCCTGGAAACACCACCCAAACCCAAAAATTTCTCAGAATTTTCAGAGGCGCCAGAGGAGTTTGCATTTCAATGCTCAAGTTCTGAAAGGTCTGGAAAAGTCTTCTCAGCTTTGCTTTCTTACTGGAAGGCGAGAACCATTGCTGTGAAGAGACAGGGTCCCAGCAGCAGCTTTGTGAAGAGCCAAGGAAAAGGACCTCTGGGAAATTTTAATTGTCTAGTCCTTGGCTACAGAGCTGAGACAAAGGGATCAGGCCATGACAGCAAACAGAAAGTGAAGTCCTTTTAGCTTTACAACAAAAGCACCCAGTGTCTGAAGCCACCTTGCATTAGCTTGGTTTTGAAAGAAAGACAGAATTTCTAGGTTTAAAGAAATGAAATTACAGCATTGCAATAGCATAATGATTCCTAAGTATATACACCCATCCTAAGTATTCATTCTTTTCATATGCAGCAAATATCCTGTGAGCTCAATAGCATGGAGATTAACACGCTTGGAAAGATCGTCTTGGAGAAATGTGTTTAATGGTATTTCTACTTAAGGCTTGGGAATATGTTAGGTAGATGTACGGTTAAAAGTTAAAGTATAAATATTCGGAATAGTAGACAAAATATTTGGTCTATTAAAATTTAGGTCTGACTGGAATAACCTCTAAATTATAGGATGCCCATTTGTTCTTTAAATGTCACTGGTTTGATTCATAAATGACATTTCAGATCTGAGACACTCAATGTACCCCAAGGTGTGACTATCTGCCTTCCTGACTCATTCAAGTCACTCATTTACCCTCACTGTCATCATCACACTGACTTTCCACAGATGTCACCTTCTAGATCTGAAAGAGAACTGGGAGATCACTAATCCCTCCATCATGATATTTTCTTAGAAGAAAACCAGATCCCACGGGAGAAATGACTTACCTAAAAATATACATAGGTTAGCTGTTACCAGGTTCCCAGCTTGCAATCTAGAACTCTTTCTGATTCATGGCAGCCTGTCCAGTTTCCCTCCCTACAGTTCCTTCCGTGTCTACCGACACTGTTTGGCACATGCCATTTTCTTACTTCAAATCTTGAAGTGTGGATGGAGAGGTGGCACTTGGTCTTGCAGAGGACCTGGGTTTTTCCAGAATCCACATGGTGGTTCACAGTCACCTGTGACTTTAGTTTTGGGGAGATCTGGTGTCCTCTTTTGGCCTCCCAGGGCACATATGTGGTACATATACAGACATACATGCAGTCAAAGCATTCGTACACATAAAATGAAATAAAATACATCTTAAAAATATTCCCAGAATATCTCTATGGGACACTAAATATAGCATCATTGCTCAAATTCAGCATATGTTCCCGAATCAATCCTTGAATTTGATGTTCTTATCCTAAATCCATTCACATTCCAGTCAATATGCAATCGTTTCTGCTACAGCAGCTGCTCTGAGATTCCCTTGAAATACACCATTGCCTATAGTATTGCTTTCTCTTTAAAGATATTTTCCTAGTCCTTAGTGGGAACTCAATGCAGGCTTTAAATGCAACTTGAAAGCCATCTCCTTAGCATATTACCCTTGAACTTCTCCATGCATGGATGTTGTTCTCGTTCCTTTAAATTGATTTAAAATTAATTTAAAACTTTCTTTCATGTTATTGTATGAAATTTAACACAGCCAGAGCTTTTAGAATTTGGACACTTTTTTTCTGTGGTATACATGTTCAGCAGAGGGTATTTCTATATGCCCGCCTCCTGTGCAGTCTGCATATAGCAAGGATGGTCTAAATCATCTTTCTGATGGTAAATGTAAAATTAATATTAATAACAATAATATGTATATATATTGCTTGATAGAGTACAAGCATCTATTTTCTTTTTACAACATTTCTGTTGATTATTTGGGAATTTCGTATGGTCCTTGGTAGCAGCATGCACCCAGCAGCACAGGCAGGCCACTCTCATCAAATGGCCCCTGGCTGCAGCATGACCCACAGATACAACATGGATTCAGGTGACAGCACAGACTGGAGACATTGGAATGGTCTTTGGTAAAATCATATACATACCCATGAACTGCAGGCTTCAACATAGCCTGCGGTCATGGATCATAGACAGCAAAGTGGCTTCTGGGACCAACACAGACCATGGAAGTCTTTTGATGTGGTCCAATTCAGAAAATGATCCTTTATTCATCTGTTGGAAACTGCAGTGTGTCACACAGTATATTTTTGTCCAAAAAACTTTATATGAAAATAATCAATACAATGAATTGTTGGTCTGATTCAAAGTTTCTGGTTTCCTTCCTTCCTTCCTTCCTTCCTTCCTTCCTTCCTTCCTTCCTTCCTTCCTTCCTTCCTTGCTTTCTTTGTCTTTCAAGATAGGGTTTCCCTGTGTAGCTCTTGTACACTAGGCTGATCTTGAACTCACAGAGATCTGCCTGCCTTTACCTCCCAAGTGCTGGTATTAAAGGTGTGTGCCACCACCTCTAGGCTCAAGTTTCTGGTTTCTTAAGCAACATAAATACTAGACCATTGCCACGGCTCATCTCAGATTCCTGCTGTTGCTTAGAGTCAGGGTGATATTTCAACTAGGCAGGACATTTAAGGACAGGTGTTGTGTGAGCCACAGGCTACCACATACCTCCCCACCCTCAATGCCTGTTGCCTGGAGGCTCACCATTCTGGACCATTGTGCTTATAGTCTGTGGGCAGCTGTCTCTCACTCTCAGTTTCCAAGAAGGACAAGTGGCACAGGCATGCTGGTAGCCAACAGGCACTAGTCAGTATTGACCTGTTTCTGTGGGAGTGCTAGGCCACAGCACATCTCCCAGTCATCAGTGCAATCCTATGGTTCATCATCAGGTGCAACCTTTATGCCTGAGATGTGGCAGCGAAGGTATTGATCAGCCACATGCGGTCTCTTTCGCCATCTTTCTTTCCAATTTCATAAGCCCACTTTATAAGCATCTTCCCATTAGGCTTGCCCTTGACCCCCTTAGTTGTTCGTGAGCTATTTTGGGCCCTGCAGACTCCTTTTCCACAGCTGAATCACCCTTTGCAGCCTCCATGGATCTCCCAGATCCCTCAGGGCTCCAAGCTTGGTGCTGGTGACTGCTGCCATCTTTGTTTTCTCCAAGTATCTATTGTCTCTGAGTTGTTGTCATGAAATTACTTGGAAAATGCATTATTCACTTTTGGAAAGATCATCACAAAAATAATTTCAGGTGATATGAAAAGCAGCATGACCACTTTTAAGATGATTTTGAAGTAGTCTGGCATACTGGTTGTCCTGTATCAAGCGCTAAGCATCAGTGCAACTCCATGAGGAGGGATACCAGCATCTCAGATGAGGTAGCTTGCCCCACCCAAACACATGGCAGAGAGAGATAGGCGCAGGTTCTAATTTATTGTTGATTACTTCTTTACCATGTGTCTACTGTGCTACTCAGTGTTTCATTACTGTGACAAAACACCCGAGACAATGAACTTATAAGGAATGAACTTAACAAGGAGGAAAGCTTTACTTTGGCTCACAGTTTTAGAAATTTCTGTTCATGTTCGCTGTGCCCACTTGTTTTTGTGCCCGTGGCAAGGCAGCACACTATTGCTAGGAGTGTGTGGTCACACAAACCTATTCACCTTGCAGTGGTGGAGTGGAGGGAGAGGAGGGGGGGGAGAAAGCGCTAGCTAGCTCAGTGTCTCCATCTCCAAAGGCGTATCTGAAGTGATCCAATTCCCTTCTACTAGGTCCAACCTAGTAGAGGCTGCATGACCACCCAGCATCTCCCACGCTGGAGATGAAGCCAGCGTATGAGCATTTGGGGGACCATTTAAGATGAAAACAAAATGCTTTTCTTTTCCCTCAACTGCAAACCCTGATTACCTCAGGGTCAGTCCAAACACAAACACAGTTGCCCCACCCAATCTGTTTAACCAGCTTCCTCGGTAGTATAGGCAAGTCCCCCAAATAAATGCCCCTCCCTTTTTTATATCAGCGCCAATATTCCATTCCTTGTTCACATCGTGAGTGAGGCTACATTTGGTACTGGAGAAGAGCAAACAGAAAGTTAAGGGTTAGCTTTCTGAGCCTATCTTCTTACCTGCTTAGATATTAAAACATTAGTAACCATTACCCTGACAACGGCCACCGATAGCTCATCACATCCCATGGTGAATGTTTCATTTTCTTCTGTAATCAAGCACCTAGCGGACACATGGCCTATGTCTCCATTTTTAGAAGAAATGTGGCGTACGATGGAGTATGCTGGAAATCCTGGAGAAAGTGGTGGACTCGATGCTTTGAATTCCCAGTTTAAGAGCTACAAAATGGAAGCAGGACTCTCAGTGAGTGCTAGTCTTCCAGTACAATCCAAACTAGACAAGCTCGGACCAGACAGAACCAAAGCAAAGCAAACCAAAGCAAACAGACAAAGCACTTAAGTCCTTCACATAGCTTAGTCACAGAGCTAAGATTTCAGGAAACGATACCCAAAGCCTAATTCTCCGAGTGAATTACATAATAAATAACTTCCAAATCATGGGATATTTTGTGTTAGATGGAGACTTCAGTTGGGAACTAGAGACATGCAAAGACTTGGGATGGAGAAATACAGTTGCAATATCATGAAGCTGAAGGTCTTAAGTATATTACTCTCCCGTTCTGCTGAGACTCCTGTTTATAAATGCAGCTTGTGACCCATGTGAGCAGGTTGTTTTCTACTTATCTCTGGATATGAAAGGAATGTTACTGAGAATGGATCCAAGAACATGAGATCAGTGCTGGAGATATAGCTCACTGGGCAAACGTGCTTGCTGCTCAAGCCTTACAACCTGAGGGTAACCCCAGAAACCCATGCAAAAGTGGTCCTCTAACTTCTGTAGCTGTGGCACGTATCATGCGAATACACTCAGTAATAGTAACTAGAATTTCACAAGTGGAAGGACTGTGAAGGCTGATCCTACTGAAAAGGACCAGTAGTATGAGCTCTAGTGGGAATGTCAACACCTTTCATACTGTAGTGACCCACCTGCGACAGTCTCCAGTCAGGTGGCCAGGGAGTGCCGCTGGAGAAAGAGAATGGTGTCCTGTAGCAGTAGGGGTCAGGGTGTGTGTGTGTGTGTGTGTGTGTGTGTGTGTGTGTGTGTGTGTGTGATGGGTTGTGCTTCCTCTTCACAACCCCTCCCCCACACTCAGCAGAGGTCCCAACTAGATCTGCCTCGGTGAGCAGTTCAGGTTCCCCAGAACACATATATCCCAATGTCTGCCATGCAGCCCCTGTGTTTGTAAGTTCACCGAGGAAGCAGCCAGATCAACAGCACCTTCAGTCCTCCCCACGTGCTTCCTCACCTGTGCTCTGTGGCCTCTGACTTTCATAAACCTAAATTACAGAACTTGGAGGCTCAAAGAGCAGCACAGGTATCGGTTCCTCCTGGGGTCATAGCTCACCTTACCAGCTTCTAATGTATTCTTATTCTTGTCCATTTTGTGTTTAGCTTTCCTTCCCAGCTGCCTGTCCAATCTGGCAGCAGGCATATGAGCACTGCTATTTATAATCAATCTTCTTAAAAGATCCCATCCAACTGTGCGAAATAAAATTTCTTAAAAAATTCTCTCACTATATAAGTTTAAAGTCTACAATGACTTACTGAGATTTTCTAGTATCTCTTAGGTAAAAATTTCTCCTGGAGAAGCTAAGTTTCCAGGATAAGGAAACATATACTTTGTTAGTTGTATACTGTAAGTAATGGAAAGAGGGAAGGATCCTTCCACCTGGAGCCTTGTATTACAGATATTGGGGGCACAACACTGCCATTCAGTGTTATTCCATCTTGAAGTACAAGGTCCCAACCCACAACTGGTACCAGACTCTCTACTATGCTGTTGTATCCTTTATTAGCTGCTTTTAAGTCAAGCAATGCGCGGTCCCTTCATTGATTTTGGATCCCACAGTTCTACATACATTCTTAACTTTTTTTTGCCATAAAACAATCTCTTGGTGGAAGCAGTGTTTGATGGGAGGTATGTTGGTAAGTCAAGCTTGTTAAGTGCGGTGATGATGAGAAAATAGATTGAATAAAGGGAAACTCTATGTGGAGTAGATACAAATTTCTAGTAGGGTCAAGTGATGATTCATCTAGGCTGAGGTCAAGTGAGATCAACTGATACCAAATGGATGTCTAGTCCTTGTTGCCAACAAATAGGGCATTCTGTAATAGAAGTAACTAGATCTGCGTGGTAGTCAACTTTCTTTCACTATGACAAAATACCAGAAGCAATGAATTCTCTAAGAACAAAAGTTCGTGTTGGTCATGGTTCTGGAGGGTCTGATCAAGCAGTCCCATTTATCTGGGTCTCTGGTGTAGGGGGCAGATCATGGCAGGAGTACGTGGTAGAGAAAACTAGTGACTTCATGAACTGAGAAGACAAGGGAGACTGAGAAGCTGGTCCCACTACCGTCTTCACAAGTATACCTCCAGTAACCCAAGAGTCTTCCAGCAAGCCCTTTTCCCCACCCCATTAGTGCTATCCTGGGGGAAACAAGGCTTTAACACAGATCTTTAGGTCATGCTTATGCATCCACAGCAATCTGTTCTGGGAAGAGGAAAGTAACATGTTCAACCTGTGCAGTGTCTTCACCTTTGCTAACATGGACACTATGCTTTACAGGTTCATTGCAACAGCATTAGGGAGGCATGCCTGAGAAGCTACTCTGTCCATGCGGTTCTTGCAGTAGTCTTAAGGATTAGATGCTCTTAAGACATAAGGAGCTGTACAGTTTGAGCCCATTGTTAGAATTCATTCACACACCTTTCCCACATGCCTTCTTTTCCTTCATTATCCAAGGTCAGTTCTAAATTGTCTGCTTTAAAAACAAGGCCAAGGCATTGGTTGTCATCACCGACCTTCATGTATGCACCTCCCAGGCCCTTTTTCTCTCTAGGCATTAGATAGCTGGATATATTTTCTGGCTTCTTTGGTGTATGCTACAAAGCTCTTCTATCACTTTTCTTTAGAATTGCTCCTGTAAGCCTTTAGGTATATGTTGGTCTAAAATCCACATATCACATTAACTCAGCTGTGAACTAGGCCTCAGTAATTTCCTACTTCCTTGATTGTTCATAGGGAAACACCCTTCAAACAAGTTATTCAAGTTGTTGGAGAGGCATTCGTGCAATAGAGGCAGATGACATGGGAACACAGGCCACTTATTAGTCGTCTATTTATGTGATATAAAATCCCTGGAACATTTAGATCTGATTCTAAAATAACATTCTTGTTGTCACTGTGCACACTGACATTGTTGTGTGGTACTACTCCCTTCTCAACAGGACCCTCTGATGACACAGGTACTTGGCAACCTATATTCAAATGCATTTTTAATTTTTGTTATTTATTTGTTTACTTTTATTGATTCTTTGTGGATTTCACATCATGCATTCAGATCCCACTCACCTCCCTTTCCCCTTACATCTGTTCTCTTCCCTTGCAACCCTCCAAACAAAACAAAATTTATAAGAAAAACCAAAAACTATATTAAACAAACAAAACAAACAACCAAATACAAAATAGAAAAATTTTGTCGTGGATGCTGTAGTGTGGCCCTGACTGGAGGCCTCTGGTTTCTGCTACCTATTGGGCTGTCACGGGGGTTCCTCTTGGATATACTGTTGTCCTGTGACATGGACATCCTGCTGTTTTGGACCTGTAGGTTTGTCCCTTCGCATGCTCCAACAGTTCATAAATGAGGTAGATGTTGGTGTGTGCCAACTCATTGAAAGGTTCAGGCATTACGCTGGCCTTCCCTGTTACCTGGCAGGATGTACTCAGGCAGCACTCTGGTCAGCCCAGAGTTCTGTGAGAACCACGCAGGTGCAAAGGACCCCTTTAAAGGACTGACCCCTGCCTGCTTATGCTCTCTTTTACTCTTTTACTCTCATCTTACTCTTCATCTCATCTCCTCTCTTACTCTCATCTCTCTCTGTCTCTCTCAGCTCTGCACAGGTCGGTTACCTGTCACCCCCCTTTCCCTCCCTGTCTACCAATAAACTCCACGTGGGATCGTTGAGTCACGGTTTGTGTCTCCTTACTGGATAAACCTAAACATTTTTTCTTTTTTTTTTTTTTTTTTTGGTTTTTGCGAGACAGGGTTTCTCTGTATTGTTTTGGAGGCTGTCGGTCCAGCCCGGCCTCGAACTCACAGAGATCCGCCTGCCTCTGCCTCCCGAGTGCTGGGATTAAAGGCGTGCGCCACCACCGCCCACACTTATGACCCTGGTTCAGGGCCTGGGTGGTAGCTGGGCTGGTCAGCCTGCCAGCCTTCCCTCATGGTCACTGCTTGAGCAAGCTCTCCCGCACTGCGTTCACCCAACACAGCCTGCAGCAGGGAGTGGGGCCAGCTCTCCTGTTCTCATGCCTTCAGGTCTGCATCATCCACACTCACACCACCAGGGCCAGCTGTTTTGTGAGGTGCGAGGCCCTCTCTCTCTTGATTGCTGTAGGGAACATGGTGGTGGTGGTGGTGGGGTCAGCTCTCCTGTTCTCATGCCCTAAAGACTGGCGCAACAGGATCAGCTCTAGTGTGCTCACCAGGTGGGGTGCAGGGCCCCTCTCCTCAGTGCTGCAGCTAGTGAGGGGCAGAGCTTCTTATTTCACTCTCATGACCCCGGAACCATCTTGCTTGGCTGCTGAAGGAAGCAAGGGCACAGGTGGGAGGATATCCTCCCCTTACCCATGCCACCACTTACCCATGCCACCACTTACCCATGCCACCATATGGAGGGAGGCAGGTCAGCTCTGTGCTCTCTCTCCCTCAGGTCTGTGTGACCCTGATGCCAGCATCATCAGATGCATTTTAAAGCTATTACATTTATTACTCTTCTCTTTGCTGTGACACAATACCTAATAAATGCAACTTGAAGACAGGAGGGCTCATTTTGAGGGTATAGTTCATCATAGTAGGGGTGTCATGGCTGCAGGGTTTGGAGGCAGCTGGCCACATTGTATCTGTAGGCAGGAAGCAGACGGCAATGGATGCGGGTGCTCAGCTTGCTTTCTTCATCTTCTTTTTTTTTTTTTCAAGTTCAGGACTCCAGCTTAGGGAATGTTGCCACTCACATTAGGGAAGGTCTTCTAAACTCAACGCAATCTCAAAACTCTCACACGGATGCCCAGAGGCTGTTTCCAAGGTGACTGTAGATCTTGTCAAGTTTATAACCAATAGCAACTGCTGTAGATACTAAAAACTATGTTTTTCAGATGGAGAGTGGTCTAGTACTATTGGAGAAAAACAAGCCTCTATGCTAGAGCTCAGGAAATATATGCTTCAGTTCTCTTGCTGGGACTTCCCAGAAATTTCA